CCACGCCTCGCTCAGCCAGTGAGCGGGAGCCGGTCTGTACGTGGGATCCGAACCCTCGGGCGGGAGCGCCGCCGCGCTTCCCAAGCGGCGCACTATCCAGTGTGCCACCGGGCCGGCCCATGGTCTTTCTGTTCTTTGAACCTAACATGCTTGTTCTTGCTTCATGACCTGCTTCACCTGCTGTTGGTTCTGCCTGTGACGTACTCTCTCATGTTCATGTGACTGGCTCCTTCACCTCATTCAAGTCTCAGCTCAGATGTCACCTTAGAAAGTCTTTCTGACCCCATGTCTAAAACAGATTCCTCTTCCACCCCCAGGTCACCTCTAACTGATTACTCTGTTTTACTTTCCTCATAGCCTTTAGCACTGTCTGAAATGATCTTATTTACTGATTGATTCATTTGTTACCTGTCTTCTCTCACATTAGGAATGTAAGGCACGGAGGCCAGAGGCTTTGTCTATCTTGTTCCCCGTGGTCTCTCCCACTGCCTCAAACAGTACCAGGCATACAGCAGACACTCAAATGTTGGACTTTGTTTTAGAAATCCTCTTAAATATGATTAATACCGTCAACTTAAAAATTATTTTATAATTCTATAAGAGCAATGCTTATATTATATTGGAAAATTTAGAAATAATAAGATGAAAGTAAAAATGTAATTTTCCACTGCCCAAAGATATTTTGTTGTATTTTCTTCTAGTCCAACAGTATCCTATTTTGATTTATATTTCTTTGATAAGTAGAACTTTTTTCCATTATGTTTATCATCTGTTTGTAGTTCTTTTGTGATTTAGCTCATCCTGTCCTTTGTTCATGCCTGTAATTCAATTCTTCATTCATGTATGAATGCAAATGTTATCGTAGAAAGGTATTCCCTGAAGACCTACCTATCAATTCACCCTGTGTATCTCCTATATAGAACATACCATATTCCATAATTATTTTATTTTATTTTATTTTTTTTTTGTCCTTTTTGAGACCGGCCGCACCATGCTCAGCCAGTGAGCGCACTGGTCATCCCTATATAGGGTCCGAACCCGCGGTGGGAGCGCTGCTGCACTCCCAGCGCCGCACTTTCCCGAGCGTGCCACGGGCTCGGCCCCATAATTATTTTATTTGTTTATCTATACACTGTTTCTCCCACCTCTCTAAGATAATGTAAAGTACATAAGGGAACTAATCTGATCTATCTTAATCACCATTGTATTCCTAGTAACTAAAACAGTGTCTGGAATATACTGGGGATAGGGGAATAATAAATATGCATTGAATGAATAAATTAAAGCATGCAAAATTGAAATACATATAATGTCCTAAAGCTCTGGTTCAAGAATTTTTTTTTTTTTTTAATATAAAGATGACCAGTAAGGGGATCTTAACCCTTGACTTGGTGTTGTCAGCACCACACTCACCCAGTGACCTAACCGGCCATCTCTATATGGGATCCGAACCCGTGGCCTTGGTGGTATCAGCACCGCACTCTCCCGAGTGAGCCACGGGCCGGCCCCTCAAGAACTCTTTTTTTTTTTCCTTTTTTGTCTTTTTTCGTGACCAGCAACGGGATCGCAACCCTCGGTGTTGCCCCCGCCCCTCGCTCAGCCAGTGAGCGGCCGGTCTGTATGTGGGATCCGAACCCTCGGTGGGAGCGCTGCTGCGCTTCCCAAGCGGCGCACTGTAGCAGTGCGCCACCGGGCCGGCCCAGAACTCTTTTAATAATGCCTTTAGTTTAAGGTAAAATTAGTGGACACTGTCATTCTGGAATGTTTGTTTATAATGTTCATACCTGATTGTTGGGCTTGGTGGATAAGCATTTTCCAAAGTAAAGAGTTTCTGTAACGCAAAGACTATTACATGCGGGCCCATCAATAACTCCAGTCTTGTACTTGTCACACTAAAAACCAGGAAATAAAAAAGTAGTTAACAGAAAAATGTTCATAAGAAGAAACATAAAAAAGATATCATAAAGAGATATCTATATCCATTAAGAGAAGGTTCTATGACGAAAAAAACTCAGGCTTTGGATTTAGACAGACCTATATTTGAATACGAGCTGTCACTTACTAGCTATATGATGATGAGAGAGCTAGTTGCTACTGACTGGGGTGTGCACGGGAGTTTGAAACAATTTTCCCCACTAATGGTCCGAGGTGGTATGGGACCTGATACAGTCTGGATATGTTTGTTCTCCCTAAGCTCACGTTGAGGTCTGATCCCCGATGTAGCAGTGTTGGGAGTCTAGTGAGAAGTGTTAGGGTTATGGGGGCGGATCCCTCATGAATAGATTAATACCCTCCCTGGGCGAGGGGTGGTGAGTGAATTTTCACTCTATTAGTTGTTTGTTAAACGATGCCTGGCACCTCCTTCCCTCTCTCTTGCTTCCTCTCTCTCCATGCAATCTCCTTGCACCCACTGGCTGCCCCGCCACTTTCTGCCTTCCGCTGTGAGTAGAAGCAGACTGAAGCTCATGCCAGTCACAGATGCCCCACAATTGTGAGCCAAATAAATAACCTCTTTTCTTTACCAGTCTCAGGTGTTCTGTTACAGCAACACAAAAAATTGACTAAGACAGTATACACCCAAGAATAGAGGCACTCTATTTTAAAAAATGGCTCTGGTTTTAAAATAAATGAAAAACTTTAAAAAAATAATTTAAAGTAACAAGAGAAAGTTGCCTTTGTCATCCTGTTATCCTTTAGATCACCCCCAAACAAAAAAGAAAATAAGAAAAAGAAATGCAAACTCTGTCTTTGATAAAATAAGGTACCAATGTAACCATGGGCACAATAAATGATGACTTGCCAAATTCAGTGGAGATTACACCAGAGCCCAGAAATATGCTGAGATTAAATTCCTGTTGTAGCCTCAGTTCTCAGACAAAGTTGGCAGGGGACCAAAGTTAGGTGGTACATCTGAGGAGCAGAACCACCACTGGTTTGCAACAAAGGTTTTACGGAGCACAAGCTGTGGGTACTTCTCAGGACTCCATCTGGCAACATGAACAAAGCAGGACAAAGCAGGCCTGAATGATAAAATTTTTAAAAATGTTATCTTTGTTGGAAGCAATCTGTTAATGAAGTAGGGTTGGGAGAGACTGTTATTGGGCAGCCTATAGTTGCTGGGAAGATATATAAGCTAAACCAATCTGTGAGTGTGTCTGTTTCTCTGTCTCACCTTCTCTCTCCCTCCCTCTCTCTCTCCCTCCCTCCCTCTCTCCCTCCCTCCCTCTCTCCCTCTCTCTCTCTCTTTCTCTTTCTCTCTCTCTCTCTCACACACACACACACACACAGACACACACACACACACACACACACACACACACACACACACACACGGCCACAAGCAGCTTCACTACAATCTCAGTTCCCAGAAGGAACTCATTTCACTCGGTAATGAGTAATAATCAAAAGAAAACAAGCAAAAGATCTATATAGCAAATCTACAAGAATTAGGAGGAAAGGAATAGGAAAAGCAAATGTTAAAGAAGTTTTCCAGAAAAATGTTGCTATGAAGCAGACCAAACATGTTGCTATAAATTCAAGGACTTACCAAAACAGTTTAAAATAAGACCTCAAAGCAGACCAAATGATGAGGCAACAGAAGGAAATGTAAAATAAGCTACCAGAACTCAGAAAGGAAGGAAAAGAATCCTAGAAATAAAAGCCACATTATAAATGGGGGTGGGAGTAGGAAGAAGAACAGAGAAGGATAAAAACTCAGCAAGACTTAGGAGTAGGGGCCGAGCCCGTGGCGCACTCGGGAGACTGCAGCAGCGCTGGGAGTGCAGCAGTGCTCCCGCCGCGGGTTCGGATCCTACATAGGGATGACCGGTGTGCTCACTGGCTGAGCGCGGTGCGGCCGGTCTCAAAGAAAAAAAAAAAAAAAGACTTAGGACTAGATAAAGAAAAATGAGCAAGTGGTGCTGCTAATACCCAGGTCCAGGGTTCAATCCCTGTACTGGCTAGCCACCCAAAAAAAAGAAAAAAAAAAAAGCGAGCAAAATGAAATGAAAATTTAAAAAGAACTGAAATGAATTTGAGATTAATTTATGGATAGAGAAGAAAAAAGATATCCAGAATGTGCAAAAGAGGAAGAATGGGAACAAGTGGTAAAGAAAAAACTATGTGAAGTAGAATTCAAGGAAACAACATATAAATGAATCTGGTGTTTTTTGTTTTTATTTTTGTTCTGGTGGCTGGCCAGTATGGGGATCCGAACCCTCAACCATGAACATGATATAAATGAAAGAACACTTTAATCACTGATTGAAAGGAAATACAATATCCCAAGAAAAACTGATATGAATGACCCCTGTAACATACACAACTGAAGTTTACTGGACATCAAAAATAAATAATCCTTCCAGCATCCAGGCAAAAAGAGCAAAGCACCTTTTAGGGGAATTCAATCAGACTGGCCCCAGGTTCTCCACAGCCACAATCAATGGTAGACAACCGTGGTGCAATGCCAGCAAAGTCTTTGGGAAAGGAAGTGTGACTTGTCTGTGTCCTAATTTTCTCGTCTTTACAAAGGGATGTTAATAGTACTTGATTTATAGCATTATCATGAGGATTAGATGGTATAATAAGTATAGATCACCTGTGACTTTAATAAGTGCTCAATGGTAGCTATTATTATTTTACATAGCCACACATTTTCTTTCAAAGTAAAAGGCATCAAATGTTTTTGAACATATAAGGTTCGGAGATTATAATTACTATTAGCATCTCTTGAAGAAATTATTAGAGAATGACTTCCAGCCAACCAAGAGATGAATGGAGAAACTGAATGTGGAAGCCAGTTGAAATGTAAGACTGGGATGAAAACAGGCCTGAGAATTGAATTAATAATAACTGTTAATACAATACCTGACAGTCACTAGATGCTTACTGTGTGCCAGGCACTGTTCCAAGAGCTATAATTCATTATTATGACAACAACCCTGGGAGGGAACCTATTGTTATATCCATTATAAATATAAGAAAACAAATATCTGTTAAGTAACTTGTTCATGGCTACAAAATGATAAAGCAAGGATTCCAACCCAGGCTGTCTGGCTCCAGAGCCCATTCTCTTAATCACTGCTGAATATTGTTCAGAATGGCACAGGCTCTTCACACCTGCCCACTGGGCCCGCCTACCAACACTCCCTACAGTTTGCTGTGAGGATAGGGATAGCCTTGATAGAGATCAAGAGCCCTGCTGATGTGCAGAGTTCACTGTCAACACCTGTAAGCCGTTACCCTTCAGCTACCAAAAGTAGAGAAGTTCTTAGATGAGCCCTTGACCATGACCTGCTTTAGGAGGAGCACAGCAATTTAGTTCCCGGACTCAAGTGTGGGTGCCACATGGGAAGATGTTCAGTGCCTTTCTTCCATCTGGTCAACCTCTGGGGACTTTTAGGAAATGCAGAACCATTTGTTTGGCATATGTGCTTGGTAGCAGATGGCCAGCAATTTCACTGGCATGTTTCTTCATTGATGCAAAGGTGATGGGAGTTCTGAGGCTTCACTCAGGAGCTTGAGTAAAACCTCCTGTAGGTACAGTTTAGTGTTTCCAAGAAATTTAAATCATACAGACCACATTCTCTGACCACAATAATTTTTTTTTTAATTTGGGGAAAAAAATTCAGGTTGAAGTCCCCTAACTCAAACATGGTCCATTGCAAAAGAAATGAGAAAATGAAATGACTGAAAAACTGTAAAGGCTAAAAAAAAGTAAAAACAAACAGATATGTTTGGAAACTAAAAAGCTCATTCCTAAATAATGTGTGGGTTAAAGTAGAAATCACAATAGATGTTTAAAGCTGAACAACAAAGATATACATCTCAAAACCTGTGGGAGGCAACTGATGCAGTTCTTAGAGGGAAATTTGCAGCTTTAAATGCAATAATAAAAAACCAAGAGGGCCGGCCCCATGGCTCACTCGGGAGAGTGCTGCACTGGTAGTACCGAGGCCGCGGGTTCGGATCCTATATAGGGATGGCCGGTGCACTCACTGGCTGAGTGTCGTGCAGACTATACCGTGCCGAGGGTTGTGATCCCCTTACTGGTCAGAAACAAACAAACAAACAAACAAAAAAACCCCAGGAGACTGTACATAAATAAGCACTCAACTAAAGCAGCTTTAAAAACCCTAAAGATAACAACAGAGTAAACTTCAAAAGGTAGTAGAATAATTAATAAAGAAATTAATGAAAAAATCCCAACAATATCAAAAGCTAGTTCTTTGAAAACTTTAACAAAAAAGATAAACCTCTAGCAAGACTGATCATGAGAAAAAATGAGGTGGCACAAATAAATATTATTAGGAAAGGAAAAGGTAGTGATAGTGAAAAATACAAAAAATACTATGGTGATATATTAGAAATAGAGAATTTCTCTAGAAAAAAATAAAAAAATAATGCAAGAAGAAATAGAAAAGCTAAGTAACACTAATAAACATCTTAAAAAATTGAACTAGTAACCAAAAATCTTTCCCTTCAAAGAAAGCTGGCCAAGGTACATTTTTGGGAGGACCTCAGGATGCCATCAGGATGTAGTACTATTTGTAAGAGTGGAACATGGGTAACAATGTAAATGCCCATCAACAGGAAAATGGTTGAATAAATTGTGTGGTATATTCATAGAATGAAATACTTTACAGTGATTAAATGAAAGAACTAGGCCCATCTATATCGACATGGAAAAATCTTAACATAATGTTAAGTAGAAAAAGTTGCGGAATATGTATAGTTTAGGACCATTTATTGAAGTTTAAAAACAAGCAAAGCAATACTATATATTGCTTATGTACCCATATGCAAGTAGTGAAAGTATAAAAACATGAAGGCAAGGACTCCCACCAAATTCAAGATAGTGGTTACTCTGAGGAGGGAGAAAGCAGGATATTGG